CGGGGCAATCGAGGAGGGAGGGTAGTGCGCTCCGGATCTGGGACTCGTAGTCGGGTCGTGGGTCGTAGACTGTTATGCTGGTGTCGGGGCGTCGGAGGTGCATTGCTAGCATTGAAAGGCCAATTGTGCCTAGGCCTAGCAGGGCGATTCTGTGGGGGTATTCTGTAGCCATGGCTTTTGGTTTTGGGTTTTGGGTTCTCCAAGAGTGCTAGGAAAGGGAAAGGGAGAGAAAGAGACAGTTACATATGTATAGACTTCATCTCGGAGATGTTCGCCGATTAGTGGGGCAAGGGTGCGGGGAGCGGCCTAGAGCTCCGGGATTGGGTGTCTATGCCCTATGACTACAATATAGCCCTGGCACTATAGACATACGCATATATATAGACAACTATGTTAAAATTCATGCTTTTTAACGTCTTCGTATACATTGGAAAAGACATCTAAAGACTCGGAACATAAAAGCACCGTATTCACGCAGATCAAACCAAGCCATAATACTCACGGGAACGGCCGTGATCTACGTGCCTCTGGCGTATGTGAGTAAACCCCCACTGCCAACTCTGATCCTTTGTTTCTAAGTACATCTCAAAATGGGAGCCTAACTCAATGGTGCGTCAGTCAATTTCAAATTTACTTAACGGCGAAGACATTATCCCAATTCTATAAAGGATGGAGTACGTCATGTTCTGAAGAGCCTTTTAGGAGATTTCAATCTGACCCTCCACCTGTCGGGAATCAGCTCACTGTCTCCTGAGCATCCTAACAGATCGGTATTGCGCTGGACAGATAGCTGAAAATTTGATAATTCGATAATTACATATGTAGGCGATATGATACAAACTCCTTTCATACAGTTTCAGTTCGCTCCTGTATACTTTATATCTAAGTACTATATATGTATGTTGGGTTGGCACATGCTACCAAATGACGGGTTAGAATCGAAATCTGGTCTCTGAGCGATCAAACAGGGTTTCGGGGATGGTAGTCTGTTTGACATCCATGCCCTATGTTGTATCGGATGCTTGGCCAGCTTGACGACTGGATTGATCGTTCCGACCGTTCTCTTTTTCCCGTTCAGTAAGCAATTGTTGGAGGCCTCCAATTCTTGGCCGAGATCTGTGAGAGAGTGGACCGCCGATTCTATGACCGTCTCATACTCGAAAAGGACGACCCCGCAGCGCGACGGGCATAGCACTTCTCATTGTTTCCTCATATGAAGAATGGCTCCCGGGTTCAGGATCCTCCTTGATGAACGGATTCTCAACTCCTGAGTAGGCGTCCCTCAAATGACGCTTCTACAATTGGAGAATACTCCACAACCCACTGCCCGTCTTTGAATACTTGTCTCAAAGACACTGTGCCCTCGTAATTTGACACGAAACCATACATTAGTCGAAGATCCAACATATATCCGATGACTTGTGCAGGACTCGCTGTGGTTTGCTCCTTTTGCCTGCCGGGCATCGTAACTATGTGTATCTCTCATTAGCACGAT